TTCAATATTTTAATACGACTCAAAGTCGTTAAGATATCTTCTTATTTTATTAAGTCTTAAAAAAATATTAAAGACTTAAGTATTAACGGTTTGCGAGATCAATTAAAAGAGCAGCTAGCCTTTCTTAATCAGATCGTGCGCTATAAGCAAGCTATTAATAGCACTCGTCTTTTTTAAAAGAAGCAAAGCTATTAGCTAAAAGCGCTAGCTAAGTCTTAGCTAAATGCTATAACAGCTTTTTTTACTTAAAGTATTGCGGATATGCAATAAAAAGACTTTTAGCGTTATTTTCTTCAGTATAATAAATATAAAGCCGCTAATTAAGTTAAGCGAGCTAAAATAGTTTAAGAAAATGTTTAAAAGAACTCGGCTATTATTGCTTATTATATTTACATCCGCTAGCAAGCTTTTTTATAAGACATCTTAAGTTATTATTTGTCGTATATTGATTTTTAAGCGCGATAAAAGTAGTAAGATCGTAGCTCAAGCTATATCTACGGTATATTTTAATTAAAAAATAGACCGAACGATGCGAGCGAGCTTAAACTTAATATAAACTTTAAGAAAGACGATTACTTTTATATTCTAGACTTCGTTAGCTTTTAAAAGAATTATATTACCGTTTATAACTTTAATGCGATTCGATTATTAGATTTGCAAAACCCGACCTCTTTACCTTTTGATATGATTAAGAATACGGTCGATCAACTTATTATAGGCTGCTCCATGGGGCCCCATGGGGCCCTACGGAGTTTTGAGTCCTCCTTACGGGGGAACCCACGGGGGGTACAAAATTCTGCCCTTTTCATAAGGAAACCTTATAAAGCGTGGGGTTACTTTATAAGGTTTATATATATAAAAATATGCATATGCATAATTACTAATTAGGTTTATTAATCACATTTACTAATCATATTTACTAATTATATTTATTAATTACATTTACTAATCACATTTACTAATTAGAGACTCAAAGTATTAGTCAAATTTATTAGTTATAAAAGCTTAAGAGTTGGTAAAGACCCGTTCTTTAGCCTAAGTTTACTAGTTACAAAGAGTTAATAAAGACCCGTCTTTCTGTAATTACGTAGAATACGTTCAACTCGGTCTCCGCTTTTAGCTTAAGTTCTTGCTTGTAAGCATAGTTCAAATGAATCTCGTTTAACTTAAATAGCTCTTTTAGCTTTTAGCACTTATTGCTTTATTTAAACTCATTCTTATTTGAAAACTTAAAGGTAAAGCGTTTGTATGCTAAGGTGCTATCGATAGTGAAAAGGTATAGCATTAATAGCTTTTTTAAGATGTTTTTAGCTTCGGCATGATCGCTATCGAAAAGATTAAGAGTAAGATCATTTAAGATCAATCGAACTTTAATATTTTTATAAATGAATTGCTTTTTAATTTAGTTAAAGAAAAAGACAAAGTAATCGAAGAGACAAAGGACTTAGGCGCTTTCTTTTTAAATAAAAAATCAATTAATAATCATAATATATAAATGTTATTATTAACCTTGTTAGCACCGTAATGCTTAATGCCGAATTCGTCGATAAAACTTTTGCGACTTTTATATTCGTAATCAAGGCCGATTAATCTTAGAAACAAAGCGGTATCTTTTTCGTTATAGCAAGTAAATATTGAACTAATAACGTTACTATTAGTATAAACGACTACGAAATCCTTATAGCGATTAAGTATCTCGTTGATTAGCTTGTTGCTATCGGTGTTAAAAAGATTGACTTCGATTATAGCGTTATAAGAAAGAAAAATCGATATTGCTAAATAAAAAAAATAATTAGCTTAAAGCAAAGAATCAAAAAGCAAAGAATCAAAAGGAAAATAATTACTTAAGTTGAATATAATTGTAATTAAGTTTTAAGGTTGGTTAAGAAGTTGAGTATTAAAGTTGAGAAGTTAAGTGTTGAAATTAAGAAGTTGAAGTTGAGTGTTAAAGTTAAGGTTAAGAAGTTAGGTGTATTGAAAAGTTAAGTGTTAAGATTAAAGTTAAGAAATTAAATAGAAAGTAATTGTGATGATGATGAAAAAAAGAAAAGGAAAAGAAAGAGGAGCGAGTACTTATATAAAAATAAAAGTGTAGTTTAATCGTAATCGAGGCATTGCTTCGATTTATTAAAAGTGAATTATAATATTTGAAATAATGAATCGACGCGGAATAAAGAAAATAACGCGTTTTGAAATAATAAATCGACGCGGAACAAAGAAAATAACGCGTCGCTTAATAATAATCGATGCAATGCTTCGATTCAATAAAGGTGAATTATAATATTTGAAACAATAAATCGACGCGGAATAAAGAAAATAACGCGTCGCTTAATGATAATCGATGCAATGCTTCGATTTAATAAAGGTGAATTATAATATTTAAAACACGAACTCGACGCGGAACAAAGAAGGAACGCTTCGCTTAGTAAATCTGATTAGTAAATCTGATTAGTAAATCTGATTAGTAAATCTGATTAGTAAATCTGATTAATAAATCTGTTTAGTAAATCTGTTTAGTAAATCTGATTAGTAAATCTGATTAGTAAATGCTGCACGGAAAGAAACCTTGTATGCTGCACGTCCTTTTGCTATATATGCTTAGCTCGGCT